GAGAGAGAGAGAGAGAGAGAGAGAGAGAGAGAGAGAGAGAGAGAGAGAGAGAGAGAGAGAGAGAGAGGAATTTTTCTCTCACTCACTCTGAAATGTGGTGTGCATAAGCTCATCCACACAAACCGATTGACTGATTGATTGACTCACTCACTGACTTCCTGACTGACTGATTGAAAAATCAATCCACTGATTGATCCCACCCCCCATCTTCACCTAATGAATATATTACACTGTCATGAAGCAGAATGGCAATCTGTAGTTATCTTCCACACAAATGAAATATCCAGCAAGAGCGAATTTTCAAAACATACAACTCCAAACTTTTTCATGTTTTGCTTCAGCAGCACGTCAAGAACACAATTAGGAACAGACAGTCAGGTTCCTGCTTAACTTTTTTTTTTTTTTTTCCCTGGTAAACTTATTTGCCCAAAAACATTTCATGTTTCGGCTACCACCCGTTCTCCGCACGTGGCCCACGTCTGCCTGTGTGACCGGCACAGGAGGCACGAAAGGGCGATTGGCCGGTCAGGGTCCCAGGCCTGATTACACAAATTCAGAGGGGAGAGTTTCAGGTCCAATTTGGGTCAGGCATCCACAGCCCCCCTGGGACAACCTCTAAGGCCCTAAAAAAAGAGAAAATTGGGGTCCAGAATTAATTGTTTTTGCGCTTTGGTTATTCTGTGCCACCGATCTGGAAGATGAACGGCCCAAACAGGAGGGCTCCCTCCGCTGGCAGTGAACAGATACTTGGAGGCATACATTTGTGATACAACTTGAACGCGAAGTCCGCAAGCAGGGGCCAAAACAATGCTCCCTTGATTTTTTTTTATTTTTTTTTTAAAGAGACGATGCTCCAATCTATTCGTGGGGAGCAACATGGGCTCCCATGATGTTCTAGTCCTCGTAAGTCCCCATAAATTGTATGTGAATCACAAGTCCTCCTAAGTTGTGTGTCACAGCCGCTGCTATAATTGCTGGATCATGTGCTTTGCCTGGTCATAGGGTTAAGTACTAGCACAGCGTGGCACATATATAAATCATAAATGTATTATTGCTCTCCCAGGTAACAAGGAAAAAAATTGCCTGATTGATAGTATCGTAGTAGTACATAGTACATACTACATTACCTTTCCCTTTTTTCTCCGAATTTGCACCATTTCTCAATTTGTGTGTGTCATCCTTGCGCAATGCCATACTAATCTTCTTTCTCAGTATCGTTCCAATTTTAACAGATGCCCCGAGTCCTTGTATGCCACTATAACAATTTTGCAGCAGGCCTACAGACAAAAACTGTCTTAGTCACTGACTTTGTGACATTCATAACATGGAGAACAGTTCATCACCCAAGCCCTAAAATCACATGCTACAGGGAAATAACTCGAAAAGTTTGAACGATGAACTTTAAAGTTTAAAACAATGAAATCCCTTTGGAACTTCAGAAACAATTCTAATGATACCAGAATCACTCGATCGCTGAAGTATCCCAACCATCAACACACACAATCTGCATATCCTTGCCACATCCTTGTCTGCCTTCCTCCCAAAACTCTCTCTCTCTCTCTCTCTCTCTCTCTCTCTCTCTCTCTCTCTCTCTCTCTCTCTCTCTCTCTCTCTCTCTCTCTTTCTCTCCCTCTCTCTCTCTCTCTCTCTCTCTCTCTCTCTCTCTCTCTCTCTCTCTCTCTCTCTCTCTCTCTCTCTCTCTCTCTCTCTCTCCCCTTCTCTGCCCCATCACCCCTTTCTTTTACCCATCCCCACACTTTAATATTACAGGCCAATGATCGTTGTTCTATTATATGGCTCCCATATTCACCTGCACATGGTCAGCAACATACGCATAAAAAGAACACCCCACATGCAAGAGTAGCACAATGAAAACCTTCGACGAATCCAAGTACTTTGTTCTTTTAGGAATTAACATCCTACGCCCCACAGGAACCTGCCTCATGACCAGTGGGGAGTAGTTATGAATTTGGACATTGACAACTGATGGTCCTACCCCTTGGTTTGCACCGCTCCAAACAGGACGTTGTGGAGCACAGACTTTTCCCAGATGCATCTGACTGAAATCATGACCACATTCTCTTAAAAATGTGTCACAGTGCGAGTACACCCTCCAGTTTCGACCAAGACTTATTGAGACGAGATCGGACCACAAACACACAGCACACACAGCTCGTACACAACAAACAACTCAATTCCGCACCCGACATATTTGCCAACGCGCCCGCTCCCATTTCCCATCGAGAAAGTTATCGCCACCCCCTCCCATCTTCCGTCTAGAAAAGTTAATCGCTTCTCAACCCAAGACAGATACACACACTAAGGAATCGAAGACAATCGCGAATTACGACTCACCAACATATAATTCAGAAACGTTTAGCAGCGCCGTCGGCCTAGACTCGTCATCATCATGCTTTCTGAATCACAACAGAATTAACCAATTGAGCATCCTTCACAGTCTGCGATGGGTCTGACAATATTTTGGGTGGGAAGCCCATTGCCTGAAGATGGTAATTGGTCTGAGAGCCACCCGGTCTGGCTGCATCAATGAACCGCCGAATATCCCCGACCGTATGGTGGTGATTGAATCGAGCAACCATGCGAGTCCCGTCGAGAAGACGAAGCTGGATGGAGGTGATAGGCTTGGAATCGTCAATGACAAGCCCAGCGGCAGGAGTGTTGCTTCCTCCAGCCGATGACGCCGAAGGTGCCGCCAAATAAGAAGGAACAGATTGACTTTCCACGGAGCTGCTCCCAAGCGTTCTTCCTGTCCCTCCAAATGCCCTGTACTTCGGCTCCGGAGGCGGCTGCGCGCAAAAACATGCACGGGAAACATACGAGGGTACGGAGTTATAAGGGGTACTGTTCAGCACAGAGCATCCAACAAAAAAAGGGAGGGAGAATGTGTGCGTGCACGAAGGCATGACAAAGTGTATCATCCACCAGGGTGGGGTCCAGCCAAAACACCACATCAAGTACTGTACTGATCAAGAAAGCCTAACCACCACCCGTCTTGTCACACATTACTAGTACTACACCATGACCACACATCATGCAGATGATCACACCCCCCCCCTCTCTATGTCTCTCTCTTTCATCCCCC